TTTTATCGAGGAGGGTTGGGTGGCTGAATGGTGAGAGAGAGAGAGAAATGGGGTTTAACGTCCACTCGACACAAACTAAGTCATTTCGGGACTAACATATGGTTTAATTTTATTTCAATAATCCGCTTGTGCATAGGGGTCTTTAGCAGTGGGAGGAAACCGGAGGACTCGGAGAAAACCCACGAGGTTGGACGCCTGTCCAATCTCGTGGGTTTTCTCCGGGTCCTCAGGTTTCCTCCCACTGTTAAAACGGTTTTCAAGTTAGAATTTTGTCGAACGTCGGATATTATTTCTAGTTCATCAGGTGACCACCTCCACTTACTCCCTATTGGAATATGCCTTGTTGAGCTTATAACAACACCAGGGGTGTCACCTGTTTCAACACATTTTTCGGTATTGGCTAACATAAAGACCCCTACACGCAAGCGAATTGTTAAAATAAAATTAAACCATATGTTAGTCCCGAAATGACCTAGTCTGTGTCGAATGGACGTTAAATCCCAGTTCTCTCCCTCTCCAACCTCGTTGATTTCCTCCAGGTCGTCCGGTTTCCTCCCACTGCTAAAGACCCCTACGCGCAAGCGAATTGTTAAAATAAAATTGACACATGTGTTAGTCCCGAAATGGCCTAGTTTGTGTCGAGTGAACATTAAACCCCATTTCTCTCTCTCTCTCACCATTCAGCCACCCAACCCTCCTCGATAAAAGAAACCGAGCCATGATCTAGTAAATTGAGAAATGAGTGAATCAGCATTAAAACTCTCTCTCTCTCTCTCTCTCATTCCATATCAACACAGCCGTATTTTGCGAATATGAAATCAAACACTCTACCTTTTAGCAATGAAAAGAACTATATTTACATAATGTATTTAATACATCACACACGGAAATCAACCAACGCTTTTTTTTTAAGATACCATTAGAAAAAATCAGATTAGTTTTATCCCTAAAGATTATAGGTAATTATCTCTCTCTCTCTCTCTCTCTCTCTCTCTCACACACACACACACACACACACACGCAATCTCTGTTGGGCAAGAAATATAAAGTGTTTCAATCCCTTTCAATTTATTTAACGCTAAAGAAGTCGTTCGCCATATTAACTAGAAAACAAGAATAGCGTGTTGATTGTGTCACTAGAGATTACACAATTTAATCAAGGTCTCTTCATGTTGCCAGCGTGTTAACTAAGGTCTGTTGATAAACACATTCGACAGTAATTCCAACTAATTTCCTCCACTTGGGAAGATATTAAAGATGTTGCAACAGGGACTATGTTTAAATCAGAGATCCTCACGATCAAATCAGGAAATAACCGTAAACGACTTACTAGAGTCGTGTCATAAACAAACACGGAAGACCTGTATGCTCTGTTTTTGATGTGTAAATGGCAGTTTCACGTATCTTTATTCTCATTTGAAAACATTAGAAGATCAACAGAATAGAATCTTGACCATAAACATGCCTTAAAATAAGGCTGAATTGGAATTTTGTTTGACACTTATCTTGTGACTTGAATAGAAATAGGGTTAAATTTCTCGTTCGGTAATTTAATTTATATGGTTATTGTTTGTGATATGAGGTAAGAGAATGTCGCCAGGGGACCGGAGTTCCAAATGTCAAGCGTACTTTTATGTGTACATCAATGTTTACACGTGTGGAGTTCAGCAATTTTTCAAACCCTTGAGCGACAAAAAAGGTTTTCCTTGACAACCCACAGGCGTGACTTTTTGGGACTAACATATGGTGTTTTATATTATTACAACACAGGGTTTTTTAAGTGGGTGATGGCAGGAGAAAACCTTGGATTTTAGGGTTGGTTTAGGATTGTCACGTAGCATGTATAGTAGATCTTATGATCTAAGACACTTGGATAGGCCTGGGGTCGTACGCATGACTTACAAAGAAACCAGGCTCTACGGTCTGCCGCGCATCTACGTTAGACGAATAGGTCATCCAACCCCCTGACAATGTTGGTGTAAAATGTACCCCTATCCCAACATGTTGTTGTTGTAAAATGGACCCCCTTCCTCAACCGTAGAACAGCCAGTGAATGTTACAGGTAGCCAGTTGGCGCTGTTAGAACGGGTTTACAGGCAGTGAGGGCCGTCAAACATCCAGCCCGTTGACGCTGCGAGAACGGGTTTACAGTACATTTTAACGTCGGATGAGTCAAATTTACAGATTTATATAAACCCACATTAATGGTCTGTCTTTGTATTCTCACGAGACGTATGATTAATGATTTTAAATCCGCTGTGATCCCGCTGATAATTCACCAGATAACGAGAACTTTGGGAGCATTAAGATGAATTAGTGGCCCAGAGGGTGTTGTTAGTGAATTCCAGCTTTTAAAGATACATTAGTTAAGAGTTGTATAATGAGTTGGCCATTCTTGCTATAATAATTCAAAAATAGATGATAAAAAAAGAAAATGTTGAAAATTTCAATCCAATTACTTTATTCTGAACGAAATTGTCACTGTTGGAAGTTTGGACTAGAAATAGGCATCAATTGTGCACCGCCTAAAAGATATGGCGATCGTTTGATTGACAGACGATAACTCCACTCGATTATCAAGTAACATGTTCAATGACTATGGTAGCCTAGCTTGGCAAGCCTTTCATCACCAGTTTCCGGTAGTGACATCAGCGACTAGCGGTAAACGTTAACTTGGTCAGTCATTTATTGATTTAATTTTAAATGGACGAGGCTGTTTAAATCCAAGCTGTATCCAAGCCATCCGTTGGTCTACAGAGCTGATTTTGAGCTTGTCATATAAATAAAGTTCTAATTAATAATTTCTATAACATCTGAAGCCTAAAGAAAGACTTGCAATAGGCAGATTTCATCAAAAAATATGATACAGGCTTTCTTGGCTCTTCCCATTTCAAACAATTCTCTGACCATTCTAGCACATGTTTAATGTTGCGTAGGATGAGAAGTGGCGATAGAGGAAAAAAAGATTTGTTTGAATTATACATTTAGACAAAAAAAGGGTTTTTTTTCATGGAGTAAATGCCGATAGCATATCACGTACAATCATCGTCATACTTAAAGTAGCTAAGTCTCTAACTCAATATCATCCAAAGTCTTACACGTTGAAAATACGAATTATTTGTCAATTCAAATCAACATTGATGTTGTGATCTTACCAAGAAAGGGCAGGCTACTGATATCCAATATTTAAGACAAAATTAACATTTTACCATTGGTACACGAATCGTGTACCATAGTGCGTTTTAGCGTCATTTGCAACAAGTGACCAGAAAGTACGAGGCTAGACATATTCAACTGGAGAGCCTGCTTAATAGACTGGAATAACCAGACGCTAGAAATTGCTATAGGGTTGAGACACATGCCGTATTTCGCTGGACATAACTGATTTGAAATTTGAGTCAAAACGGAAACAATTGAATGTAAATCAGTTTATATACAGATTACATTATTATATGCGTTGCGGCCCATTTGGGTCAATTTCTAGGTCCCAAATATTAGCGATTTAGCTCCTTTAAATTTACAAAAAAAACCCATGTTGGTTGGTTAATTTAAAATGTGTTCCAAATGGATCTGACCTCTAGGCTTATTCATCTACAAACACATTAAATAAAAAATACAAATTATCAAAGCATCACTGTGTAAGATCTGACTTCAAATATTATGCAAGTCTTTATGTAGACATTAGAGGGGTTGGATGGTCGAATGGTTAGCACGTGTGCGCTGTATCATAAGTGTCATTGAGTCAACTAGCGTGGTTTCGAATCCCCGGTTGTACGTGACAAGGAGTAGGGTCGCCTGTCCAACCTCCGGTTTCCTCCCACTGCTAAAGACCCCTACGCGCAAGCCAATTATTGAAATAAAATTAAACCATATGTAAGTCCCGAAATGGCCTACGTTGTGTCAAGTGGACGTTAAACCCAATCTCTTTCTCTCTATCTCTCTCTCTCTCTCTCTCTCTCTCTCTCTTTCCCTCTAGACTATTGGATGGCTGAGAGATTGAGTGGATTAGAAAATGTCTGACATTAGACTGCCGATTGAAGATTGACAGTTGGTAATCCAGACTGTTTAACCTAATATCTTAACAAAACTTCAAACGTTCACAACTTTGCTCAGAATAAAGTAATTGAAGTGAATGTTTCATCTTATTTATTTGATTATCTAGTTTTAAAGATAACAAATAGAATTTCGATTACTTTAAAAACTACAATTTTAATCATCAATAAAAAAGATCTTATAAAAAGTACGTTTTATAAATAAAAAAAAAGAATCTTATTAAAAATAATCGTTTAATAAATAAAATAGAGATATTGAGATATTATATTAATATATTATTAGTTTTAAAGATAACAAATAGAATTTCGATTACTTTAAAAACTACAATTTTAATCATCAATAAAAAAGATCTTATAAAAAGTACGTTTTATAAATAAAAAAAAAAAGAATCTTATTAAAAATAATCGTTTAATAAATAAAATAGAGATATTGAGATATTATAAAAAGTTAGGCTTTTAAATTTACGTAAACGATTTCATAGTTTGAAATAATTGTGAGCAGATTTCACAAAATGGAGGAACATAATTTATATGAACAAAAAAAGATCTTATAAAAATTTAGGCTTTTAAGTTTGCGTAAATGATTTTAAAGTTTGAATTAATTCTGAGCAGATTTCTTCCACTAAATGGAAAATCATAATACCTGGGGTTTTTTTTATACAGATTTCTTCCACCAAGCGAAGAATCATAATATCTGTAATTTTATACAGTAATGGAACACGATAAACTCTTTAACAATTATCTCAAACTGTTCATACACGATATATTGATCACAGTTAACATATAATACATATATGATATATCAACTTATATCACAGTTAATATATTATACATGATATATCAACTTATATCACAGTTAACATATTATACATGATATATCAACTTATATCACAGTTAACATATTATACATGATATATCAACTAATATCACAGTTAACATATTATTCAGATATGATATATCAACTTATTTAACAGTTAACATATTATACAGGTATGATATATCAACTTACAGTAAACATATTATACAAACATGATATATCAACTTATATCACAGTTAACATATTATACATACATGATATATCAACTTATATCATAGTTAACATATTATACATGATATATCAACTTATATCACAGTTATAGAATGAATAAACTATTTCTTTCCACCAAAGCCAAAATTTCCATAACCGAAATTATTGAAGCCAAAATTTAAAAATGGATTGTATCCAAAATTGTTAAATGGAAGGCCACCATAGAAGTTATCATCATCGAACCCGTAAACGTCATCAAAATCCCCATAACCATCATATATATCATCGTAGAAATCGTTACCATAGAAATCACCTGAAACAGAAAAAAGACTGGAAGATAAAGACTCTGTAAATTCGATTTACCAGGGTTGGGTTATACAGTTTAGACAAATCTACAAGCTCGTCATTTGATTTCATCCACTCCATTGAAAGAACATGGTGGTTTTAAAGGAGTTCAGTGTAATAATATTATTTTATTACCTGTTTGTAACAGGAATGGACATTTCTAATTAATTCATAAATATACTATTCAAAAAAAGTAGGGGATATTTGATTTTTAAGTGTTATTAAAGTCACCTAATGAAACTGACGAAGAAACAAATGACAAAATGAAATGAAGTTCACATTCATCGATTTATTCCAAATGATCGTTAGACTTAGTAAGGCACAGACTGACCATTATAAGGGTAAAATGATACCCGGGGTCAAACAGCAAAGTTACCACAGCATCACAACCAAGTCAGTAACGGGTAAATCCTCCTCTGTTTGCCAAACAAGCATTGATCCGACGTGGCATACTCCTAATGAGACGTCTAAGGTCATTTTGGTCCAGATTGTCCCATTCCTGTTGCAACGCAGCAGCAAGTTCTTGGACATTGGCAGGACGTTGTTGACGTTGACGTAACCTCTGTCCAAGCATGTCCCAGACATGCTCGATGAAACGGCGGCCATGACGTCGTGCGAACGGCACAACATGGACTGCCAAGATGTTGTCCCGGTAGTACTGGCCTGTAACACGCCCTGCAACAACATGTAAAGCCGTTCTTCCAGCAACAGTGATGCCTCCCCACACCATAACAGAACCACCCCCAAATCGATCATGTCTGATGACGTTAACGTCTTGGAAGCGCTCGTTTCGACGACGCCACACCCTCCTACGTCTGTCCAAAACATCAACAGTGAACCTTGACTCATCTGAAAACATCACATTGCTCCAGCGTCGATTATCCCAGTGTTGACGATCCCTACACCAACGACGTCTTGCCTGAATGTGATGATCTCTCAAACAAGGGATCACGCGAGGACGTCGGGCGCGAAGGTGACCCCTATGCAGTCGATTCCGAATCGTCTGGCCACTCACTCTCACACCAGTGTCTGTTTGAAGACGAGCGCTGATCTGATTTGCTGTGATGACACGATTTCTCAAGGCCAAGGTACGGATAAATCGATCCTGGGCTTGAGTTGTCGCCCTTGGTCGACCTGAGCGTGGTCTGTCCTGTACAGATTGTGTATCACGGTATCTGGACCATAGCCTGCTTATGACAGACTGAGAAACATTCATCGTCCGCGCCACAACCGCCTGTGTTGTGCCGATCTGTAGCATGCCAAGGGCACGTAACCTTTCATTTTGGGTAAGCCGACGCATATCAAAATTTGTTTTCTGGTCACTAAAACAATTAAACTGGTGTTTCCACCCTGGAATTCAATGCCACAATGACTGTAACATTCAAAGTCAGAGTCGTGCAAATCTTGGGTTGGACCCCCATGATGATCCCAAGCATCACCTGCATTCCATGCGGTAGCTATTGGTGCGTTTGGGCGTCACATGTAACTGGAAATGTTTCTTCTGTTAGGTTCTATAGTGACTTTTTTCGTAGTCATTTGCATATTTTAGTATTATGCCCCCAAAATCAAATATCCCCTACTTTTTTTGAATAGTATATAAGGCATACGGGTTTTGTTCAAAATGGCTCTGATTGCTCACTAACCAGTCGTTTGGATCTGATTTAAACCAAGGGCACCACGTGTCCTCGTTTTCCTGAACGCAAAGCCTTAACTAACCAAACAAAGATTAGTGGAAAACTGACGGCATGTAGCCTACCTATAATCAATGGCGGAACGGCCAGGTTGACAAGTGGGCCCCAGAGGAAGTGGGCCCCTTTAGGCATAAAACAATATATTTAAAATATAAATTAACAAAAAATATAAAGAAAACAAAATCGGGAAAATTCTAATTACATGTTTTGTTTTCCACTTACATATTTTTTGAAAATTTTATTTATTTATTTTAAAAATTAAATGATAGAATTGTATTGGTGGGTGGAGCCCCTTTGTCTCCTGGCAACCAATATTTTCAGACCCAGTCCGTCACTACCTATAATGGCGAAGAGCAGTAGGAAGTTAAACCCCATTTCACGACCCACAGAAAGAGATCAAAATAAAACATTTAATTTGTGAATTAAATTAACTAACCTTTAATAACTGAGGCAACAGCCAGAACGACAAATAAGGTCAGAATATTAAGAACTGCAGCCATCTTTAATTTTCTGAAATAAAACGCTAATATCATTACATGGAAATAATTATTCATGGCCGATGGCGTCGTGTTTTTGTCAGCCGTTTATTAGTTGATTCTAAGTTACGGTGGGTGTGCTCAGGCTGTAAAATTCTCAATATCAGGATTTTTCATTTTTAACCACAAGGCGAGATACACTTGCCCACCCAGAACACCCAATATCACTTCTCATTGGATAAGTTAACATTTTCTTGCAATTTCGCATTTGGAGACCATAATTATATCATATTTATAGCTTCAAATAAAGAATACGAGGTCGTTCGTTCGTTTCTGGAGTTTTACGTCCACTTCCACCAAAGGTGATACCGTAGACAAGTATTTCCTAAGAAACTTGCCAGAGGAAGCCATAGGAGATAGGCTTGGTCCAGTTTGATTTTGGTAATGCATAGTGTTTTTGCAGGGAAATGTCCAAGTTAAATCTCATCGAAAGGAGAAAGTCCGGGGAAGACAATACGAGTCAGCATCAGGAGTTTAATAGGAGAAGGTTACATTCTAACTCACGTTCTGAAATGTAACCTAGTGGTTATCCACTGGAATTGATCAATTTTTTTTTAAATCATTTAAAATTTGGATGTAGAATATGTATATTTACGACACACCTTTCCTGGTCTTTGTTTGTGGTAATATTTTGGATACAATGTGTAGAATATGTATATCTACGACATACCTTTCCTAATCGGTCTCTGTTTGTAATATTATGGACGCTAATGATCTTTTAGAGGCATTTAGTAACTGGATAGAGCAATAAACTATAACACATACTTATGGAAGAACAATTACTGATTTATTTGGGCGACGTTTCGAAGAGTATTCTTTCAACGTTGCTTGAAAACGTTGAGAGAATACTCTTCGAAACGTCGCCCAAATAAATCAGTAATTGTTCTTCCATAAGTATGTGTTATAGTTTATTATGGACGCTATTGACTCAAAAAGGCGCTTGTCAGTACCCTAAAAGCCTTTTAGTAATATCATTAATGTCCCACTGATGACAAGCTCAATAAAAACATCTTAAATAGAAGAACATTGATAGCTTCTCGTGATTGTCGGAATAACCTTATTTCAATAAAATGAAATGAAATGGGGTTTAACGTCCTACTGTTCTGCTCCGAACTGGGCTAATGAAGACGGTCATACGCCATACAGTGTGCTATGAGGAAACTTTTATCCGGGCAGCGACACTACCGCCTACTCTTATATCGACTTCCAACTGTCAAATGGATCTTTTACGTGCACGCCAATGTGTACACGGGACCTCGGTTTTTCATCTCATCCGAACGACTAGACAGCTGCCCTTGTCAGGCCCTCCGTCCTGCATCACTGACATGTGGAGCCACGCCGGAAAATCTGGATAAACTTTCTCGGCCAATGCAGGGATCAAACACCCGACCTCCAGGCTAGCGATCCAGCGTCTTACCCACTTAGCCAACGTGAACCCCTTATTTCAACAAAGACAAAATAGCTTAAAATTATCCATAGACAAATTAAATAAATGGTAAAATATTATATAGTTACCCTTACTTGAGGTAGATATCGTTGAAGAAATCCAACGTTGAATGAAATTGACAGAAAATTCTTAGTTTTTATATTAACTTGAGGTAGATATTGTTGAAAAGATCCAATGCTGAATGAAATTAAGAGAAAATTCGTGGTTTTTATACTGACTTGAAAATTTGTTGACAAATAAACAAAGTTCAATAGGTCTTGCATATTTATTTATTTGTTTGTTTTGTCGACGAAAAAAACCCAAAATATTTTGTTTTGATATGAATTTATTGCTACATGGATTGGATGTTGAATGAAATGAAGCAAAACATTTTAATCTGTTTACAAATCAACAAAGTTCAAGACATCTTGTTTGTTTTGATGTTTGTGAATAAACTATAATATCCATTGATATGTTTATGTACTGAAGGATAAAAAAAACTAAATATATCATAAATTATCGATGTCTTTATCTATATATAATTATTTAAAAAAAAAAATAATATTTATTAATCATATAGAACAGTTACTAAAATATTCTACGTAGCCGCCATTTATTATGATGTATATCTGGGCGTGACAAAAAGGTGTAACGTCCACTTGAAACAATTCATGTTATACCCGGACTTATATGTAATACAAATAAACTGTGGGAAAAACCTGATACAATTTAATTTCAATAATTCGTTTGCGCCTAGTGTTCTTAAGTTGTGGGACGAAACCGGAGAAGACTCGGGTAGGACAATCGACCGTAGACGTACAAGCTGGGGATCTGAACCATACCACGGGACCCAACCATGTGACCTATTGATCTCAAGGGTTCGATGAATATAATAACCAATTCTCCGAGGCATGACAATGTTCAGGTCG